TGACCGCCGCCCCAGGCTCACCGCCTGGGGCAGCAGCCATGGCGGCTCCACCTGCCGCACAAGTCCTGCTTCCGATCTAACGGCGTTCTACAGCTTAAACGCAGCAGTAAAAGTGGATTCATGCCCAATGCGTATGTGTTTCCCGGGCATGTGCGGACCCTCCGGACTTTTTCGAGTGAATGGCTGGGACATTTTTCAATCTTTTACGAACTATCACAATTTTGGTCTGAGAGCCGTCCAAACAGCCGGCGGAGACTAGACCTCCATCTTCGCCACCAGACCGACTGAAAAACTGGCTCTCCCCATTCCCCGGGGGAGTCGCCTTCCGGATCTGCGCACTTGAGGGAGACTTTTGAGGAGTCCGGTGTGCTCCTTGTTGGTATCGAAACAGGAGAGAAAGGTTTGTTTAAAAAAAAGCGTGCAGGAATCAGGTGTGGTCGCCTGACCCGGTGCCACACAACAAGGTAAGACGAGCCTGTGCGGCTAGTGAACTCACCAAGTGGAGACTCTGGTAAATCCAGAACCCGTCCCAACTTTCCATCAAGGATGTGCAGGACTGCCAGTGCTGCCAACATCTGGGGCTTACATGAGGTGGGGGCAACTGGCTGACCCCCCACGGCCGGTACGGTGTGACGAGGTTTTGAACACGGCTTTCTTCAATCTGCGCCTGCAGGAGATCCCACCACACACTTTCACACTATGAAAGGGAAATAGTGCGCTTCAGTGAGTGCATTAGTGAGCCTGGAGCGGCGGTCAGCGGTGCCCTCAGCGCCGGTCCGTCCGCACCGAGCCGGTACCCTGCGGCCAAAATAAGAGTGGCCGCCTCCTTCCAGTGCTTCAGATTGGTGTTCATCCTAATACTACCAGCGTATCTTCTAAAATGTCACTCAGTACTTCTGAAAGTGACAGCTCGGTCCCGTGCGTCTTCTCGACATTTGTTTTGGTGGAAATGACGTGATTCGGGAAGGACAAGAGCACATCTGCCTCGAGCTGCTATCGCCACCTACAGGCTGGATGGGGTCCTGATCATTGTATTTTGCTCAGCATGCTGGAAGAACCAAGAGAGAATCAAGAGAGAAGTGACATTGATCAATAAAACTTCTTCACTCCTGGTGAACTACTTGTAAACACCTGAATATAATTAAATAGCATTGCCCACACAACCCAACAACTATTATCCTACATTATAACATTAATCAACTGATTCAAAGTGTGTTCCATTTTCTATTGTTGTTATATTTGTGCGACTTTGTATCAAAGTACCATTTATGTCCTCCCCACACTGCTTCTGATGTATGCCTAATAATTGGTCTGCAATCTACGGAGAGGCACTTTTACATTGGTGTAAACCTATGGTGAAAAAAACATGTCTTCCTATCCATTGCCTGTGCCATTATTTACAAAAGTACTGGGTAAAGTTCTTTCACATACAGAGCGACAATAATACAAAAACGAATGCCTATATTTTTAGTGTATGTATTAATGGACATTTTTAATCTTTTAATGATTAAGATCTTTTTACTATGCTCATATGTCTTGTAAAATTCAACACAAAGTTATTTTCTTATTCTGCACACTATAATCCACTCCAAACTATGTTGTTGTATCTGATAAACATTTTAAACATTTATGGCAGTACAGCCCAAGTTTGTGTGTCTCTGTGTTAAAAAAAGACCAGACTATGTTTTATACAGTGTACACAATCTCTGCTGTCTACAGATCTGTTAACCTGAAAGATCACAGAAAATAAGTACAGTTTATGACTTATTCTCGCTTTCTCACAGATTACTGTTTAAATCTTACTGTTTAAGGGAATATTTGCAGCAGTGAAAGTACACAAGCTCACCAAGACTGAATTTGTTGCTGTAAATGCACTTAGTCAGATCCTAAGCCCCAGTAAACGTGTCTGAAACTTGCACTCTGTTATTGGTCAGAAGTTCTTGTTCTCAGGGTTACTGAGTTCATATACCAATGTGTTCTTGTGTCAGCAGATTACCATGAGCAGGCGAGGCTGTCTGTCTGTGGCAACTGTGTCTGCGGCAACTGTTCAAATTCTCTTACCAACTTCATAAGAACACGTCCTTTGTATTTCAGCAAGCGCCTCAAGAGCTGCAGCCACCAGGAAGTCAGTGTTACAATTCAGTAGCGGATTAGAAAGTAAAACCTCCAGACTGTTGTCATTTCACTGTTAGTGAGGATGTCTTCTTTGAGATTAAGTAACATTGAATCCTAACTTTTGGTGCAGTTAAATTCATATTTACTTTTAGAGCATTATAAATAGTGTACTGCACATTCATCAAAGGCTGAATTATGGAAGTTATTCAAGAAATTCAACAGCACCCATGCCTTATAGATATATCATGGGTTGTGCTCAAATACCACACATGTGCCAAAATATCCACAGATCTGCACATTTTCTTTGTACTTTTTTCTTTATAGACCATATGGACAAACTGTTCTTATATTTACCCTCTTCATTTTAAAGGCCCATGATAGTCTGCAACTTCAGCTGGAGCTTACACACATGCATACACAGGGGGATGCTTGGGTCAATGAACCAGAAGCTTGACTTTTCAACACAACTGATGCAGAAATGGAGACATACGTATACAATATAATGATATATAAACAGAAAGTAGAACACTACAGCGTAAAATCCAAGTTCTCTGACAGAGAGAAATGTTTGAAGAGAAGGGAGGAGAAGGAGAGGCAGAGCAGAAAGGGAATGCAACACACAAATGTGCACGCACACATGCAGGGGTGTCATATATCCTTATCAAAGAGGCATTGTGAAGGAAGTCAGCCTAGGTAAACTCAGAGAGCAGGAAGTGTTTCAGACTTTTCTGCTGAAAACTGAAACTGTCCTGAAAGTGTCAACCGTGTAAAAAAAACAAAAGACAAAGACTAATCAAAACTGATGAAATGTTTCATACTGCATCAGTCACATCTAACTTTGTGAGCCGTTGTAGCATCTTCAAGGGATGACTGGATTGTTAATCTGAGCAACAGATGACGTTTTTTTCTCTTAAAACAAAGTTGGTATTAAGAATACAAGAATAAAACGTGTAATGGCATTATCATGTGCTTTACTGTACACCTGTTCAAATGCCATATTCTCACTTAATTCATACTCTCAATTAGTGTTTGTCAGACAATATATTTTGTTGAAATTATATGCAGAAAATAAGAAAATTTGAATGTACTATAGTTCAGAACACCCTAATCTAAAATAATGAGATGAACATTCCTTATTCTTGTAGTAGCAGGCAGACACGTCCCCTTTGAGCTCGTATCAATGGATTTCATTAACTCAGAAGCTAAACTATCTTGGTTGCATTCCCTTTCATCCAGGGTTCCAGGGTTATCTAGGATGTCCAATCAGATCTGGGAACCTCCCACGGGAGGAGTGTGCTCAGTGGCAGGGAGTCCCAGGTTTTCATTTGCATCAGACATTCCTGCTCTGCTACATTTAACTTGTCTCAGTATCATTTGTGGGTCCATATCACAGCTACATTCAAGGTTCATGGAGCATCACTGAGGTGTTTTTTTGGCCAAGTCATATGTAAGTAAAACGTTTGTTGAAATATTATTTATTTATGTATTATCATGTATGAAGTAATGCTCTAACAAAATCATTGTCAGAGGCATTTAAGACACATTGTCCTTAAAAATGTTTAGGGAACAAGACAGAATGTCCTGTCATGTTTGTTACACATTAACACAACAGTTTGAATCAAAGTTAAACATTATAATGTGGACCGAATGTGTGTTAAAATCCTGTAAATAAGGTAGATGTATTTATTTTGTCCCAGAACAAAAACAGTAGTCATTTGACCGGATATAATGATGAATGGCATAGAAAAATAGATGATTAGATGATTTTGAGCTCATCATAAGTGTGATAAAAACTAATTTTCAACCACTCTAGTCCTTAAAACACACCATTAGTCTGCATCTTTAAATACTAAGAAAATTCTTGACACTTACTGCACAAAAGGTGCTCAGGCTGACACAAAAAATAGCCCCATGGTACTGAAATTTGCAATGATTTGACTTGCTCGCCACACAAACAATGGTTTTACACAAGTTGCGTGACTTCTTGGGATTTATGGTGGTCCTCTTTGAGTAAAGTGAAATCCACCCTAAACCAGAAAAAAGTTGTTTTTCAGTACATGAAGTCTCATTAAAACTTAACCTGTCAATCACTGACAATCAGCACTGTAAAATATCACTAAATATCATTTGTGGTGACTGTGCCACAGTCTAAGAGTTATAACCTACAAACCAAAACAAACACTGTGCCAAACTCAAAGTCAAAATCTGTGTGGTAGATCCAGATCATGGCCTTTTACAGTAATACAATAAGTAAGATCACAGGATTAACAATGTAAATACATTTGGTTTTGGGTGGATTTTCACTGAGTTGTTTTGCTTGTGTGAGCCTCATTGTTTAGCTAGATGAGAGCAAATAGTACTGCTGGTAGCCCAGCATACAGTGTTTGCCTGTAAACCTTATCATGCCTTGTGCACTCTGTGATAACCTTAGATAGTGGTTTAGATAACTAAGCTATGCAGCATAAACCAATGCAACGTGTCTTGTAAAAGTTAGTGTAACTGGTAACTGCATTTTTGTTGTTGCATCAGCAGACAGAAATGGATGAAGGCAACATCAGGAAGAGGAAGGAGTCACAGAACGGTTCCACTGGCCACAGCATGGACTGTCAGGCTGAAGATAAGCAGCCTGTGAAGGCTACTGTGCTTCAAAAAGATGTGAGTGAGTGTGTGTGTGTGTGTGTGTGTGTGTGTGTTCCTGAGAACAAGTCTCATTAGATGTTCACACCGTAGGATCCCACCATCTGTGCCATTTTAAAGTAATGGGGACTAGAAGTGAGTACCAGGCAGTACCACAACAACCGTCTCCACATATTAACTCCAATATGATCCACTCAGTATTGCTGTCCAGGCCCCCTAAGCTACCTAAGCCCTAAAGTGAATTTAGGGAGATTTAGGATTATTATGACCCTTTTTCTAAACAATGAATAAGTAGCACTATCTTATTTTGCCTCACTCTACTAAAGAAGTACATGAGCTGACTTATCTGAACATTTGAGATGGAATTTAAAAAATGGATCCATTCCAATTAAAAATGGGTAAGAATCACATGATAGTGGTAATTAAGTTTTTGTGTGCTCAGACAAGACAAAGACTCTACAGCCATGCAACCTGCTGGTAGTGCCACATGAAAAGTCAGTGGGTCACTAAAGTCATTAGGATATGTCATAAGGGCACAATATGTCTAAAGGTCACGGGAATCCACTCAGTAGTTGTTGAGACTTTTAACTAAAAAAAACCCACCAAACCTCACGGTGGCTCCAGAGGGAAAATCAGGGGGCTTCATCCTCTGCTGGGGACCATGAATGACTGTAAAGAAAAGAAATCCTAATTATCCTTTCAGTACTAAATTAAATACTAACTGATCAACATCCCCATCCTAAGAGCCATACAAGTGTGGCTAAAAAGTAAACCCAGTGTCAGTAATTGTAAAATTAAATATGAAAAAGTTGAACATGTCGAGTGTATAAATTGTGTAAGAATAATAAGAAACAAACCTAGGACATTTACATTAATATATTTTATTTAAAGGTCCAGTGTGGATTCAGTGGCATCTGCCGTTATAGTTGCAGATTGCAACTACATCGCTTCACCCTCCCTTGCAAGTGTGAAGGAGAAACTATAGTGGTTGGCACCTGAAATCACCTGAATATAAGAATCGTTGTGTTTTTTAAAAAAAAGCCATTTTTATCTACAGACGCCGCGGCTTCCATGGAGTCCGCCATGTAGAACTGCCATGTTTCTACAGTAGCCCAGAATTGACTAACCAAACACTCGCTGTAGATAGGGCCTTTCCTGCTTTTCGCGTGTTTCTTGCCCACTGTTTCTCCTACAACAGCCCATTCTC